TTGTCTCTCGTTCTAGTGCTGAGTCTGAATATAGAGCCATGGCACAAGCTGCGTGTGAAATAATATGGATATATCACCTCCTTAATGAAACTGGTTTCAAAGCTCCCATCCCTGCGAAACTATGGTGTGATAACCAAGCTGCTCTTCATATTGCATCCAAACCAGTTTTTCACGAAAGGACGAAACATATTGAAGTAGATTGTCACTTTGTTCGGGAGAAAATACAGAAGGGATTGATTTCTACTGGATTTGTGAAGACAGGAGATCAATTAGCAGATCTCCTTACTAAAGCGCTAAATGGCACCAGGCTTATGTATTTATGTAACAAGTTGGGCATGATAAATATATATGCTCCAACTTGAGGGGGAGTGTTATTAGTAATAATATTAGTATTTTAGTTAAGTCCTGAGAATATGGCAGAATCTGATTTGGCCATTAATATGGGTGATTTAGGCATTAATATGGGAGATATAGTTTCCTTATATTAGCACCCTTCTTATGTATATATATAGTCATTTTGTAATATGTAATTATGAATTATGAGGAAAACCTCTGATTCTCAGTCACACAGAGAAACAAAATCCTTATATAAACAGGGTTGATGACCCACAGATCATGGAAAACCCCATAAGTAGTTTCACTGGTTTGGTTTGAGCATGGTAAGAACTATAACTCTATATAATTTGAGCAGTTTAGAGAGCTGATTAACAAAGTAGAAATTAAATAACATTTCAAAATTTCTTTCGCATAAAAGGAGGCATCAGTTCCTCAAATTCACCATTAGCACAATTGTCTAAGACTTGGTTGAGCAATATGAATCCTATGTCTCAATTTTATGCCCTCGGCACATGTACCTGCTACGCATGAACAGTCTAACCAAAATTCACGCCCTTAGCAAATTAGGCATCACTCATAGGTCTTTAACTAAAATGATGGTTAAGAAATGTCCAAAACTCATTTCATGTAAATATGGCATTTTCCTAGTTGCAGAAGGTAACCTTGAATGCAAGCTGGTGCGGCACTGCACTCTGATTGGATTAATAAATGTTCCATCCCACTTAGAACATATTAACACAACCTATTACTACGTATTTCTTTCCACCAATGCAGCTTTTGGATTCAGACTACAGCATCAATCTAAAATTTTGAGATAGATGGCCCTTTATGTTCGTAGAAGCACTGAAGAGAAGGAAGAAGAAAACAATGAAAGCTGATGTGGCGCCCTATTTACTGAAATACAGTATGCTGAATGTGAAGTGTGAACAGGGAGAACATACACTAGAATGTGACCAGGATGGTGCGACTGAGACTGACTTCTTCCTAATAGATCTATGTGTCTTCCAATGCTCCAAACAACTGTTGCAACTCACCCATCACTTTCACATTGAAGCTCAAAGGAGGTTGCTCATGTCAGTCATTCATTTCCAATGTTGATGTGACCAACGACACAGTTCATTGGTTTTGGTGACTTGTTCGCTAGTTTCTCTATCTCGATGCTTTGCCATCCTTTGATATTCTACCCATCACTCGTCATCTCCTGTGGCTCGACAATATTTTAAAAGTGGGTGTCGAATTGTGTTTGAAAAGACGGGTGACATTTGGCCCATAACGTCTTCAAAGTTCAAAACTTCCCCCAAGAGCAGGGACAAGGATTACATGGACAAAGAGCAGTGAGGAACCCATGGAAAAAAGCACTAAACAAATGTTCATGCATGCAATGATTGGCATGAATCTCAGAAGTCAATATTAGCATAGCTATTTACGACAACACTTCACCCTCTGCCTCCTACACTGATCATGATTCTCTTATATGAAGAAATAATAATATCAAACTAGCAGGCCCTAAACCCCAATGTTGTAATAGATACAAAAACAGTTCTGAGGGAGACAACGAATCTAGCAGATTGGTATGGGGGGCTTTCTAGCTTTATTGACGATGACGATTCACTTTGACATGTCTGCAAGAATAAGGGGTGCAAAATTATGACAGTACCAGTAACTTAATTGCCAGAATGCCATGTCAGAAAAAAAAATATAGTACTACATGATGGAAACTAGAAAATATGATATTTGCATGATTTTTAGTTTCTTGAGTCATTGAGTGGATAAATGATGCTTCATTGTCGATGTTGATGGCCAATGGCACATTGAACTAGTAAGATGGCATATAGAAACCCTTTTCCCATTCCTTTTCATAGCTTTTAGGCTTTGTTTGGAAACAGCATTTGTAATTTCCATTAGCGTTTTGGATAATTGTTTAGTGGTGTATACAGAATTTGATAACGCTAATGCTAAAAGATGTTGTTGGATAGCATTTTCAAACGCTCAAGTTGATGCCAAAGGTAGCTTGAGTTTCTTAGGTTGGCCTTTTAGCCATTCTAGTGATTGTATATAGTGGACAGGCAATAAAAGCATGCCTTCCCTTATATTTCTAGATTCAAGTGTAAAAATCAGAAAGGATTGACTCTGATTCCACCAAATGGCTTATGCAAATGTGGAAGGTTTTGAGGCCTTCTGAAAAACAATAATTAGAAAATGAGCCAATAAATATTATGCTACACACAGCTGAGAATACATGAACCAAACAAATCAGCTTTGCATTCAATATTATTAATGGGAAGGAACAAAGATGAAAATAGCACACCTCAGATTGCTTCTTTGCTATTGTGATCTTTCTGCCTACAAGAAATGGAAACAAAATACTTAATAATAAATGATGTGAACTTTAAAGGAAAAATGAAAGGCCAAAGAACTGTACAAATCTAAAATAAGTTTGGTTACATGAACGTTAGTGCTATTTTGATCCATAGTCTATCAGCCATAAGAACATTAAAGGAGATAAAAGGGACAATGATAGACGCAATGTTGACCTCCTAAAAGTTCAGGCACAGAACTTGCTTCAGGCATAGGCAAATCAATACACATATGATTCATGAATTACCACAGAAAGGTTGTAATGGCATTCTAGAGTTTGATGACAGAGTAGGTGGTAACCCTATTTCCAAATAGGAATATTAAAAGTAATAATAATAACAATAATAATGGCCATACATATGCCTCCGTCCAACAACTTCCAGTAATAATTACATTACTTACATTGGCAAGAATCTTTTGCCCTTGGGGCACCAACGGTGCTCCGTTGGTAAAATTAATGGTTCCTACCCAACTAACCCTCCTGCACCCCCACCAAAGCCCCCCCCAAAACCCCACCCCTAAAACGCTGATTTGGGCTGCCTAAATTGGTGTTTGGGGGGACAGGGGGATTGGGGTGGAGTGCCCGGGGAGGGGGTTCTGGGGTTTTACCAACGGAACACCGTAGGTATCCCGGGTCATAAAAGAACCTTGGTTTCAAGGTCAAAAGAACCGTTTTGTAATTACATACATCCAGGTAACCTCTGAAAGGTGAAGTTTCAGATAGTGAGAAACTCAGTAAAAACAAAAGGCTGTCCCACACTATCTTCCCCTTTTGTCTCCGCTTGTACACGGTTGAATGTTAGATGAATATTTAGTTGGTCTTACTAGTTACTAGCATAGTATGTAGCATAGACCAAAGACCATAAGGTCAGTCTCATTCACAGCACATACCTAGAACAGTTTTCATTGTACCCTCTATTTGAGGTGTGTTTCCATTCATTCTGAAGCATGTATGCCAAGAAGCTAAGTGCATTGGTATGAATAAAATAGCTTTCCCTTATTGTACTTCTGTTATTTTACAAACTACTACAATGCTATGACAAATTAGAGATCCGTACAATAGATTAAGATTTGAAATGCAGGCGTATAAAATCCTGTAATGCTGAAAAAGTTATAACTGCTAGAAATTAGAACAATTATGCATGGGTACAAAAAATATGGACTACCGGCTTTAGTTTCTTCTGAAATTGACCCCTTCTTGGACGACCCAGTCTGCAACATAACAGAAACTCTTACATTAGGAATACGAACCTTCTTAGGAAAAATTGAATAAAAAACTGCAAGGCTCAAAGACTTTTCTATTAAAAAAACGTGTCCGGTATAACTTGTTCACTCTGAAAGATCGGTATGCATTTGTCCAATGTCAAAGAGTAAAGTCAGATGTAAGAAGAGAAATTTTCATTTTTCCATTGAAGCATCTTTGATTTAGGACCTGTAATGTCATTCTAAGGAGTTAACTTTGGATCATATGGATGAAGCTGAGAGTCAATACCTTCTCACCCACTTTCTTGAACATAGTAGATATAGTGGCTTGAATAAGAGAACCGGGATTACTGTGAGTGTGCTCTGTGGATTTAGAGACTGCTTCAGCACCAGGTGTACTTTTGTCAGCAGATCGATCTAGAATAACTACATCTTTGTTGTCACCATCAAAGACTGAAGCATGAAATTTTTCTTCCTGCACAGATGTTTGAGGGAACTAGCATAATGAAGTTACAGATGACAACAACAACAACAACAACCCAGTTAAATCCCACAAGAGTAGGGTCTGGGGAGGGTGTGTGTACGCAGACCTTGCCCCTACTCGAAAGTAGAGAGGCTGTTTCCAAAGAGACCTCCGGCTCAACATCGAAAGTTGCAGTGTTTGACTAACTGCTACTTCATTAATTAAAGAAGCACAGATAGTTTAGAGATCCATTTTGATTTATTCCATCACACCCCAAAGCCAAAAATGGTGAAATTTTGACTCCATCGAAGATGATGGAAAAAGTTACAGATGACAATTTTCTTAAATGTAAAATCACATATCATTCATTAAAAAAAAGATCACATATCATTCATTAAAAAAAGATCACATATCATTCATTAAAAAAGATCACATATCAGATGAGTAGAAAATGTTTGCATATTACTTCTGATTTACTACGGAGTATTTTTTAGGTCATCCTTCCTTCAGAACGGGAGTGGGGGATGATGAAAGGTTTAATAGAGAAACTAAGAATGGAAAGTAAACAGATGTTACCATCTCATCTTATTTGTCCCCTTAACTACTCATGTGGTCAAACCAACTCTTCTTTATACACTTATTCTCTATGCCAGATATAAAACTAAGTATATTCTAATTCAGTTCCTTGGTCTCAAAGAACTTTCAGGGGTAGCTTTTCAAGAGATAACCGCAATTAGAATTTAAATTACACAAAAATAAAAGTGAAATTGTAAATAACTGGAGTCAATCCTTATCCAAAATGTATCAACAAACCCTACGATAGATATCGACTCTGTTGGGGTCTAGGGGTCAAGATGCAAGCAACATAATACAAATGCTCACCCCCCCCCCAATAAGAATAATTTACAGATTTACAGAGCAAGTAACTAAAAGCATTTTCTTATCAAAACTACAAGAGTTGCATCCAAGGAGAAGCAGGGTTGTCGCCGGTCGGGGTACTGGCAGTGAAGCATCACCGCTTGCAGCTATAGAAGGGGCAACAAATTCAGGGCAAAAATTTTTTTAAATATTATTTTGTTGAGGCTAATAATTTTAATCTCGACACATATTAAGGAAAGGGAAAAGGTCTGGCCCATAAGCTAGGTAAAGGGCATAAAAACTGTTAAATAAACTACTCTTAAATTTTGCTTAAAAGAATTCTTTGAAGTTCATGTTTGCAATATTCACACTGACCCTCCATTCCTCTTTGTCAGAAGTCTCAGCATCATTAGCAGTTAAATCATCCTCAGAAGAAACATCTGCAAAACTGAGACACTTTCAAGTCACCTGCCAGAAGTGTAATGTGGGATTTTGATTTTGTCCATTCTTTATCTGAAGCAAATATTGTCAAGCACGATACTTTTAGCTCCATTCGCAATGGAAAAATGGTCTGATACACAAGTAAGGCTAAATTGGTCTTTGATAAGTTTTCACATGATTTCATTTGAAAGGAAAACCACTATATTTCTTTTCCAACAAAAACATAATCTGGAATCTAAACTTAAAATTTCAACTTAAGTCGTCCGTCTATATTTAGAATTGCTTTCAGGAGCTGTTTGTCAACTTTGCCCTGTTTTTCTCTTCGGCCTTCTATTTATGGGTCCTTGCCAGTAAGCTACTATGAATGAACAACCGAGCTATCAATTACTCGCTCCGTTTCATTTTACTCACCCATTTTGGTTTATGATGTTGGACTGAAATAATTTTCAATTCAATTTATTTGATAAGTGGTGTAAAATTTAAAAATAAAATTTATATACTTAGAAACCATATCAAAATTTCTACAAAACAAAAGGTGACATGACTAAATTATTTTATCAAATTAGTAACGAAACTAGGAAAAGAAAGAGGATAAAGTTTGACCTTGTAAATAGTGAATGAGTCCAATAAAAAGAAACAAATGGAGTATTAATACTCACACCGTCCAATTGGGTTTTTCCATTTTGGGCGAGCAAGGAGATTAAGAAATTGCAAATTTGTGTGGTTCAAATTTATTGGAAAAAAAGAGGGAACATATGGTCGCAAATCTCTTTTCTTAAATATGAAATAGAAAAGTTTTTTTGGGATGGACAAAGAAGGAAAGTTCGAATATTTCGGTGGGACAAAAGGAATAGTAAACTAATATTTTCTCATATTACTTCATAATAGAGTAGTATACTAGTATTTTCTCATATTGATTCATGAGTTCATCCATCAGTACAAATAGACAAGTTATAGTGCTATGGCAATGCTATGTGCTTCATTTTCACTTTCATAATTTTTTGGAGGATAAAAAAATGACATGCTACTAGCATTAGGAGTTGCCAGCAACACCATCATACAAACCAATACTACTGAACAAGTTATAGTAACGTTGAGTTGATGCCTTAGACCTCTTTTCAATTTTGTATTCAAGGAAAAAAACATGTTGGCATTAGAAATTGCAAGCAAATTATTATTCAGACCAATACTAGAAACTCTAAAAAAGAAAACAAGTTTAAAATTTACTTGAATGTCTTGCCAGCTGTCCTAGCTGAATGCCGAGCTGGAGCAATATCACTGAATTCTTTGACATTGCTCTGATCTTCTAAAATGTCTTCTTCTTCTTCTTCTTCAAGTTTGGGAGATTCTTGTTCCAATAATCTCATCCCTGTTTTGTTTATCCCTTGTTTTCCATCAGATGCAGCACCAGCACCACCTTTGAAATTATGCTCTATAGTCTTGTCCTGGGGTAAAAAAAAATTTAAAAATACCTTCAGTAATACATGGCGGCAATAGGGCATCTAGCCTAGTACGGAAATAACCATGCAAACAAGAGGAGCCCATGTTAAATAGGAAACCAACCACATTCAGCTCCTTTGGGAACTCAAGACGAACTTCTTCTGGATTCTCGTCTTTCCTACCTATCCACCATGCATCGGAAAACACAATCTAGAAAAGCACGACGAAGCAGTAAGTCACCATATAATATGAAAGCAATAGAAGAAAACCACTAACTGCTCTTCAATGAATCATTTCATTTGCTGGATCATAGCATAAGGAACTAGGCATGAAACTCAAATAACAAAGAGACATTCATTAGCAACATAATTCATTGCACTTCCTTAAACATGAGAGTTGAGATAAAAATATAAAAAACCAGCTTGATAAATATAGAATCTGTGTGTTCATGAATTCATGATTGTATAAGTGTGATAATATGCATGGCCAAAACTGTTCTGTAGAGTTCAAGATGGAAAAAGAGATAAAATACAGTTTTCCAAAATTCTAATTATAATAAATATTCAATGTGGAATGGGAAATAACAGACGTCAACAAAGAGTGAAAAGCCATACCATGTTGTCAAAATAATCGTCGCACACTACACTCTTCCCCCCTCTGGAAAACTGCAGAGTCAAATACCTGTTTTTAGGATAAACAATTGTCCCAAACAACTTCATTTGGCCCTGCATGTGATAAAGAACCACAACTATGAACTTGTCTTCCCCACCAAAAAATGGAAGTTCTAATTCAAGAGTTTAAAAGACACATAAATTCATGAATTGCTTTGTTCTACGAAACGTTCGGGCCATAACCACAATACTAATCGTTTAGTGAAATGAAAGACCTTGCCCGCCCATAACAATTCAAACATTTCCCAGGGTATCAAGTGCTCTCCTTTCCTTTGCTTACCACTATTCAAACACCAATCATCTATTCCTTTCCTTAAACACTAAACTAAAAAGAACTTACAAACAAATGTAAACAAACAGATCACAGACTAAAGTAATTCTATAAAACCTCAAAGTTGTAACCGAATACTCTAAGAAGTAAATCCAAATGTTAGCATATGAGACTGACCAGAGGGAAATCGAGGTAGAGAATAGGGTTTTTGGTGTCCAGGTCTTTGAGCATGCCAATTTTCCCGCCGGAAACGGGGGCAAGAAGCCCCAGGAAGGAGAAGAGAAAACGGTTCCTGCTTCGCTGAGACTTGCGAATTATGTCGTTCCCACTGTGCTTGACCACTGTCTTCGATGGGCGCAGAGCATTCCTCACCGCCGCCGCCTTCAGAGGTTTCTCCGAAAGCGTCCCCTTTGAGAAAGCGAGCTTCTTCAGCCTCTTCTGCTCCTCCACCGCCGGATCCGCCGCCTGAGGAGCGTTCCCGACCTTCTTCCCGCCAGCCCTTACCATCTCTCTCCGCCAGCTCGTGGAAGGCGGGAACCAGCAATCTCCAGATTCAGAGGATTTTGGTCTGGAGTTGTAAATGCTTTTTTTGACTTAGTTAACTACTTTAATTTGTTATTCATAATGACAAACTAAAGTATGATTGTTAAAAAAAAGTTTAAAAAAGTCAATAGCATTAAAAAAAGCCCCAGCAAAGGCAGTAACATTGGCTCTTTGTGCGTCATTAGCTTGAGAATAGTATGAACAGATATTACCTTGTAATAGAGTTAATAGCATTCAAAAAAAAAGTATGATTGTTAGACCACTACAATTTTACAAGAGGAAATTTATTAAAATAAGATTAAAATATAATGACTTTCTCAATATAGGATCATATATTTTTATTTCTCAACATAGGTTTATTAGTCATTGGACCTGTTTGGAAATAGCGTTAGAGATTAGCGTTAGCGTTTTGAAAAGGCTATCTACGGCCAGCGTTTAGCGTTAGCGTTTTCAAAGTAATCTGCACCGTTAAAATCTTATTCAAAACGCTAACGCTAATCTCTAACGCTATTCCCAAACAGGCCCATTATCTATTAGTCATTATTCAAGTAGATATTCACTCATATTTAAAAAAATAGGTTTTACATTGAGAAATGATTTATGCTCTATTCATATTTAGTGTAAATTTCACTTCTACAAATGGTCTTCAAGCTCATTCAAAACGGGTCTAACATCATTATGGCTTTAAACAGTACCCCCATAAGGCGTTAATGTGGTGTTGGAAGAAAAAGCACTCCCCTCTAATGGTCCACATATTCAAAAAAGTAGTCGCTGACTACATTAAGAAATTATTTCACTTTTCCATTTTCAACTATAAATATCATATCATTTTATGTAAAACATACATCAAAAATATATTCTCATTTCTCTACAACCCACCCAAAATATATCCTATATTTTATATACTCCCTCCGTCCGGTAATAAACTTCCTATTTTGACTTTTCCTCATTTTTAGTGGAGGTTGACTAAGGGTGTAATTTCTCTAAAATACCCCCCTCTCCTTCCTTTCCCAGCCCTGCCCCTGCCACCATCAAGTCCCCACCACTGCCTCCACCGTAGTCCCTCTCCTCCTTGCCGTCAGCCCTGCCATGTCCGTCAACTCCACCATCGATCCATTCTCCAACCATCTCAAAGAAATTAAGAAGAAAAAGGAGAAGAAGTGGAGATCTAGACTCACCGTCATCCCCGCTAACACAATTGCCGTCGCCACCATCGCTGCCGCCCGCTGCCAAGCTCGGATCTGGAAGTCTGGAAGAAGAAATAAGCTCGGATATGGAAGGAGATAAAGAATGGAAAAGATGAAGGGGGAAAAGTGAAGAAGAGGCCGGAGATGACGAAGGGAGAGAGAGGAGGAGAAAGAAGAAGAAGAAAAAGAAAAGAAGATTGAGTGGAGGAAAGGAGGATGACGGAGGGGAGAGGAGAAGAAAGAAGAAAAGCAAAAAGAAGAAAAGGAGAAACGGCAGGAGAGAGGAAAAAGAAAAGAGTAGAAAAGAAGGGTAATTTAGGAAGAATTGGTATAAAGTAGTAGAATGAGAAGATTATTTCCGGACGAAAAAAAAGGTAGAGTAGGAAGTTTATTCTTGGACGGAGGGAGTATATAACAATGGCATCACCATCTTCATCTAGGAGTGAAAAGCATTCATGTTTTGTGTTTTCTCCACGGGATGTTATAAGTGGTCGCAACAACAAGAAGAAGCAGAATCGTCAAGTCGCTAAATCAGGAGTGAGCGTTAAAATTGTGATTGGGTGGCTGCGCACGAAGCACTACCTAGCTACTTTAACACCCCATGTTGTTACTCAGTGGAGAATTTTAGTAACTATTTTTGAATGATCCGTTCTTTGTTTTTAACTAGACTCGTACCCGTGCGATGCACGGGCTATTAATTGACATATAATTACTCAATGTTTTAAATAAGGAAAAATATTACAAAAACTTGAAAAGATTATATAAATTGAAAAAATAGAAAAAAGAAGGGGAGTTTTGGAAGTGTTAAAAGTTTTGAAATGTTTTTTTACAAACTACATTCGTTATTTGGTAACATGAAGAAAGGTCTTTATTGCAAATCAAAATCTTTAACACTTTCCCTAGGTCCCACAATAAGAATATTTAACTATTATTTTAAAGAAAAATGAATAAATTTTACTCTGTATGATATAAATAAATTGGATTCAAATAAAGTGGATGGGTGAGAAATTAAAAAATGAATTTATATGATAGATCATAACTTAATAAATATTTGAATCACCGTTTTTGGTTTTCAACATTTTACTCAATTTCATTTCAAATCATTTAATATGAAAAAAGATGTAGAATTAAAATACAAAAATTACATGTTCTAAAAGTAATGGGGAAATGACTATATTATTGAATCAAATTACAAAATCAAATAAAAAAAGTGATTGAAGTTTAACTGTGAGAAAAGTTCACATGCAATTTAATTATAGTTTGAGGGAGTAAATTATGTTCATATAATTCATCCATGTTTATCGGACCTAGTAAATATTAATTCAATAAATATACTACCCCTTCCTTGAGTATTTGTCTATATGTCCATATTTGACTATTTTCCATCAAGCTTAGTAAACTTTGACCTGAAAAAAAATAAAATTGAAACAATATAGTATTATATATATATATATATTTATATATACACACACACACACTTTATATATATAATGTAAAGAAGGAAACACCATTGACATTGATGTGGAGAGCTGGATGTTGAATGAGAAATATAAATATTGAGATGATTTTTGAGAAGTTTATTTTTTAGGAATGAAGTTCACATCATTATGCTCGAGTATATATAATACTCCGTACATGCTTCATGATACCTTTAACCACTCATTAAATGGCTAGATATTAAAAATCTTTATAATGGATAGATTTGACACAAAGTTACTTTTTCCTAAATCTACTTTATGGAGCTACTCAATTTTGTTTTCCCCCAATGCAATTTTATGGAGCCACTCAATTTTGTTTTTTCTCAATGCAACTTTATGGAGCCACTAAAATTGAAAAGACATAAAGAAATTTTATTGAGTCCCACGCCAGGCCTAAAACCAAACCACAAAGTAGGCCCAAACCCGTCATTTATAGAGCCTGGCCCAAACCCGATCCACCAAGCCTTTAGTTTAGGCGGGAACACTGTTCACAAAATGCACCTAGCATTGTATATAGTAGGATGATATTACGCGATATTGAACGAAACGTGCTTTGGTTTACTCAACGTATTGATGCAAGAAGTCAGTGATTTTAGTGATGTCCAAAAGTGCACCGCCGCGCTTCGTCATAGGGCGTATCGAATCGTTAGTGATATGTTCGATGGATACTTGAAGATGTTGGCTCAAAATATCAGGACTTATGTCTATAAATTCTCAAAAGCTATTATTCGATTGTATCGTAAAAGATATTTACGTAAGCAAAAGGTGAGCGACATTGAGCAGTTACATGCGAGGCGTGCCCCTAAACACGGGTTTGTCAACATGCTTGGGAGCATCGATTGCACGCATTGGGAATGGATGAATTGTCTCACTGTGTGGCATGGTCAGTATTCACGGGGTAATCATCCCAAACCTACCATTATGCTCAAAATAGGGCTTCAAATGACCTATGGCTTTAGCATGCCCTTTTTGGTTTGCCAGCTGGAATAAAGACATAAATGTTCTTGATCAATCACTCATATTTGACAATTGGGTTAATGAGAATGCACCCGACTCATCTTTTGAGCTTAGAAGATACTTTACAAGTATGAATATTATCAATATATCCATATTATTCCACAATTGTCAAGTCTCTCTAAGAACCAATCGGTTTTAAACGACAAACGTACAAAAAAGGTCATGATGTGGTAAGAAAGGATGTCGAATGAGCCTTCAGTGTGTGGAAAGGTAATTGGCTTATTATAAGTTGACCGTTTAAGTGTTATTCTCAAACGAAAATGAGAATATTATATATACATTATTATTCTTTATAATATGATTACAGAGAACAATGGGTTTGCAATTTGTCATTGTAATCTAGATGAGGAGGAACCTGCCTACGAAGAAAAAATAAAGAAATCGCCAAGAAATTCGAAGCCAATAGATTCATGACGCACTAATAGCAGATTTACTTTGAACATATTTTCAGTCATTCAAATGATCATTAGTTTTTTGTGCTTTATTTAAATTTATGTTACTTTTATTTATATTTTTTTAAAAGTAATGTAATTTCTTTTTGTTGATGGAGTATTTTTAATTTAATTTATAGAATGTATATTTAAAGAAATAAAAAGGAAAGTTTTGAAGCCTCAATTTAAAGCTTAAGTAATTTTTTTAAACTCGTAATTTCTTTTTTTAGGACCATCTGATTCAGTTTTTAGATGGTCAAGATGTATTCTTATTTCTTTCACTGAGAGTCATTCACACCTAAACCAACTCACACACCGACACACACACACACACATTTATGTATTTATGTGTGTGTTATCTTCATAGCTAATCAAACTAATTATTATCAAATTTTATCAGATTGTCTCCTCAAACTCTCTTTGCTATCCTTGTGCCCCCGTTGCAACCCTTATTCTGTTCCTCTCTCTAAAACACCGAAGTGTTATAGTTAAACTGTAGCATTTCAAAATTTTGGGAAGGAGGGGACAGTTGGGGGGGCGGGTGAGAGGTTGGGTTAGGGGTAGGGAAAGCAAAATGTCATGTGATAAAAAACCAATTTCAGGCCTAACAGAATGTTGCTTGTGCAGTCTTTTGGGTGATATGGAAGGAGAGAAACACCCATGTCTAGCAAGATGAGAGCCCCTCTCCTCTGGATACATACGCTAAAGCGGGATTGACTTTTGATGCACGGTGGCGACTTGCTAGACAATAATTGACTGACAAGAGTGGGTTGGCCAACTTGACCACAACATGGTTTCTTAAAAGTTCATGTGGATGCTTCAACAAGTCATGTTGATAATGTAGTTGGACTAGGTTTTGTTGCTCGAGATCACAATGATATTTTTGTGGCAGCCGAAAATGGTGTATGCAGGGCAAGTTATAGACCGCGAGAAACAAAAGCAATGACAATGAAAGAGGCTTTGAGTTGGATCAGAACAAGGGTTGGCGGCGTGTTATTCTCTAGACTGATTGAAAGACGTACTTAATATTATCAATGTTACTATTCAAGATTAGTCATACGTTAATTTCATTCTAGTTGATTTTAATTTTTTTGACTAGTTGTGGTAAAGATGTCTCCATTACTTTCGGTGCTCGCTCTGCCAATGAGACTTCACATTTATTAGCGCGTGCTTCTCAGAGCACAGGAGAGTGAATTAGTTAGCTTCCTAACTTTATTCTTTGTTCACTTCATAAAATTTGGTTATCTAAAAAAAGTTCTTTAAGCTACTCATATGGTTATACAATAAAGATTATACGGTGTAAAAATTGAATTATAAAATTCTAGGCCAAATAAGATTAGACTAAAAGTGTGAAATTAAGTGACTTTAACATGCTCACAAGTCATATCAAATATTATTAGAAAAAGGGAATGAGACAAATATGATGGAATAAATTGATTTTATGTTGTCTCGCTCCCATTCATTTTTTAAAAGGGACAGAACAAGTTCAAGACTGAAAAAATGTATCGTAAATAAATTAGAATAATTCCGAAATGGTATAGTAATATTTCAAAATGGTATAGTAATATTTCAAAATAAATTAGAATAATTCCGAAATGGTATAGAATTTACTTTATATTGTGTAATATAGTTGTACTGGCCCGTGGGCCTTCTCTTGTAAAACCCTAGGCTGCTTTTCCCTATATAAGGGAGCTATTATCAATAAAGAATATATACATCCCCCGCAACACGTTATCAGCACTGCTCAACCCTAATTTTTTCCGTCCTCCTCCCTCTCCTGTTTTTTGCCGCCGTTCTCCACTGTGCATCGAAAAGGAAAAGAACACACATCGCCTTCTCCTCTGCGATTCCCATCGTCTGAGTTTCCCCACGCCGCCATCGCTAGTCGCCGCCGATTTTCTTTTGTCTGTTTCCAAAAACCATCGACAGAGCGAGAAGACAACCTTGATAATTGGCTGTGCTACAAACCCAAACGAGAGGAAGACAAATTGCGAATCTTCTTTTCTTGCCGCTGGACCAAATTTTGAGAAAAGGAATAGAGCAGAGCCAAATTTCAGATCTTCTTTTCCAAATTTTCGATCCCCAAAGTCCAGGTATTCTATGAATTGAGTTTCCGATTTTCCTTCTGGTACATGATCGAATTTTTTATTATATAATTGCCCTCCCTTGTGTTCTTCTCAAGTATGTGTCAAGATGATTTTTTCGCACAAATCTGCAATGCATAGGGTAAAGAAACCTGCACCAATTATTTTTAATCTGTTATTCTTCTGCAATTATGTGTACATCTACATTTTTTTTTTAAAAGTTACATGCTGCGTTTCAAAACAAAAAACAAAAAAAAAACGTATGTTTTGGCTTCAAAATGGGATGTTTGCTGGTATATACCTTTACATGGCTTCAATTTTCACAGTTTGATTTTTCCGCATATGAATAATTACTACTCGTGTTTAAATGCATAGTATTTTATTTCTGGATATGCACATAGTAATTTCAATAACATGTTACCCTATATTTTATACTGGTCATTGAAAAGTCCAGTAGTTGGTTGATTTTTTTTTGTCATCGTATTTGGGTGGTTTGTGTTGAAAATATACACTGTTTTTTTTTGTTTGATCTGTTTCAATGCCAAAATAACTATTCCTCTTAGTAAAGAAAACGTAAATTTGATGGTATATTATTATAATTATTAACATCATTATTATTCTTTATTGAAAAAAATGTTTTATTGGTGTTTTTTTTCAAAAAAAAAACGATTTATTAGAATTTTAATTTTAAGTAAAAAAAAACCCCCCATGGCCAATATTTAAGTCTTAATTTTTTTTCTTTACTTCATGTAATAGAATTATACTTTAGCCTAAATTTCAATGCGATTGTTGTCATCCATGATTAATGATTATGGACCATATATTGCTTGGATTTTTTTTTTAAGAAATGGTTCATCCAATTGAACCTAAATATGCCATTTTAGACTCAAAACTAATTGAGTTCTGTGACTAGTACATATTAGTTTTGATTAAGAAATTTCGTATATAACAAAAAGGAGAGAGCATGAATTATTTGATAAAAACTCTCATTTCAAGATATCAATTTACTTATGATTGTTTATTTGCATTTTATCTAGAAATGACTGAGCCCACTAGACCTGAATTTGACATCTTGGACTCAGAAGGACTTGAGTACCACCGTTGGGTTTCTGATGTAGAAATGACTTTTGTGGCTAAAGACTTCTCTGCCACACTTAAAGACCCCAGTGAATTGAAAGATGCACCATCTGAAAAAGTGAAAGCAAATGCTTTAATGTTCCTAAGGCGACACATTGACCCAAGTTTACGTTGGGAATATCTTCAGTTGAAAACCCCCAAAGAACTGTGGGATGCCCTTAAGGGACGTTTTGGGAACATTCATGATACTCTGCTCCCGGAACTAAATGCGCAATGGAATGAAATCCGTTTGCTAGACTATAAACGGACAAATGACTTTGTCAAAGATATGTTGCGTCTTAAGGCACGTCTCATCTTTTGTGATAAGCCAATCACCGAAGATGACATGATTCAAAAGACTCTTGACACATCCCCTACCTCATCCATGATACTAGCGAACCAGTATAGGATAGAGTATGAAAACAAAAGAATTACCACATTCTACAAGTTGATGAATATGCTGCAATCAGCAGAAAAGCATAATGAAGTCCTTGTGAATAACAATGCTCGGCCTGTCGGGACAAAGAAAATTCCTGAAGCCAATTATGGGAAAATAAAACATGGCAGGCATCCCAATGAAAAGGGACCTGGACGTGCCAACCCTTACCCACGAGGAAATAACTCTAATCGTGGGAAGGGTCGTGGTGGTCGTGGTAGAGGTCGTGGAGTATCTTTCAATGTTTGGCGAAGAGAGTCAAATGATGGACCAAGTGGCCACACAAACAAGAAGTCAAATGCATCCAATCCTCATGTGCTAAAGAATGAGCCATGTTACCGATGTGGAGTTAGCGAACACTGGTACAAGCATTGTCGCGCTAGTAACAAAGTTGCTGCCTGCTACAAGAAATATCTCCGATCTCGAGAGCATGAATCTCAATATTTGGATGAAGAAGGCAATGACGTTGATGTCAATCTTACCCTTGCACACTTTACGAACAAGGGGGATAATGTGCACTCAATGGATGCACCTGATTTTGATTGATACACTCTATTCATTCTCTCCATGCATGATGTTTTAGAATAATTTCTTTTATGTTTCTGCCAATTTCCTAGGAGTGTTTCGAAGATTATTTATTGCGTTTTTTTAGACTATGTGGAATTGTTTTAAATTTGCATTCAATTTAAATAAATTAAGGGATTTATGCCCCTATTTTTATATGCATTATGTGTTCCAGTTCTATATGCAATTCTCTCATTACACAGGCATGAATCGAGGTGAACTTGAGTGCTTAATAGATAGTGGGACTACCCATACCATTTTGCGAAATAGGCAACTATTTGTTAACTTGGTAGCCTATAAGTCATCTGTGACAACAATGATTGGTTCGTCACATGTAATTCAAGGACGTGGCACTGCCATTTTCTTACTCCCTAATGGTACATTGATTAAAGCCATAAATGCTCTATATGCACCTAGAGCTACTCGAACCTTGTTAAGTTTCAAAGACATCCGTGACAATGGTTTTCATGTTGAAACTCATTGTGAGAATGGTATTGAATACCTTTACATTACTTCTAATGAATGCGGAAGAAAGCGCATCTTAGAGAAGTTTAAGGGTAAGAGTAGTGGACTGTATATCACTACAATTCGAATAATTGAATCTTATTCTATAAGTCATGATGACATAAGGGATACTGAACGATATAGACTTTGGCATGATCGACTAGGGCATCCTGGTCGTGACATGATGATTCGTATCCTAAAAAACTCTCACGGTCATCCTTTCTTTCGAGGCAAGGACAAAGC